AAAGGACGACACGAAGCTGTGGCGTGTATTTTTGTCTATATCAGATATGAGAATACGGAACAGTAGCGGTGCAAGGACTGTACCTTGAGGTACAGAGCTTTTAACATCGCTTGGACTCGATTTTATCTGATTGACTGTTACTCTTTGTGTTCTGTTCGACAGGAAATTGAGTATCCAGCGTCCTACTTTTCCAGTTATTCCCATTGACCTCATTTTGTGAGCTATCACCCCATGGTCACATTTGTCGAACGCCTTTGCAAAGTCTGTGTATACAACATCTGCATTTTGCTTTTCTTCTAGGGCTTCTGTGATTTTGTCATAGTGGTTGAGTAACTGTGACAGACAGGATCTTCCCGCTCTAAATCCATGTTGTCCTGGATTGTGCAATTCATTGTTTTCCATAAAACTAGAAATTTGATTCCTAATCACTCTTTCAAACACTTTTATTATGTGTGATGTTAGTGCAACTGGCCTATAATTTTTTGCCAAGGCTTTACTCCCCCCCTTGTGCAACGGAGCTATATCTGCAGATTTAAGTGCTGCTGGTATCTCCCCTGTATCCAGGCTCTTTCTCCATATTACGCTGAGTGCTCTCGCTACTGGTACTTTACATTTCTTTATGAATATTGAATTCCATGAGTCAGGCCCAGGAGCTGAGTGCATAGGCATATTATCAATTTCTCTTTCAAAGTCTTCCGAGTTTGTGGTAATATCCGTTATATTATCTGCAGCTTGAATGTCATTCATAAAGAAGCTGTCTGGGTCATCAACTTTCATGTTGTTTATTGGTGTGCTAAACATAGCCTCATACTGGCTTCTTAGAATTTCACTAATCTCTTTGTTGTCCTCTGTGTACATACCTTCATTTGTAATTAACGGTCCAATACTGGTCGAGGTTTTGGATTTTGATTTTGCGTATGTGAAAAAATATTTCGGATTTTTCCTTATCTCTTGTATAGCTTTCTGTTCCAATTCCATTTCCTCAGACTCATATGATCGCTTCAACGTTTGTTCTATTTCCTCAATCTCCCTGCTTAGGCTTGTTTTCCTTGCTTGTGATAGTTGTGTCTGCCGAAGCATTTCCGTTATTTTTTTCCTTCTCCTGTACAGTCGTCTCCGTTCTCTTTCTAGAGTGGTCCTCTTTCTGCCCCCTCCTCACAGGTACGTGCTTCAAGCAGACCTTGTAAGCTTCAGCTGTCAGTTGAGCTATTCCCTGTGTGGGAGTTTTGTCGCTTAAGACCGTCTCCCATTGAATGGTTGCAAGGTCTACATTTATTTGTTCCCAGTCAATCCTCTTATTGTTGAAATTGAATTGATTGAATATTCCTTCTCGCTTGTTGGGTCTCTTAGACCTACTACCGTTATTTATGCTAGTTCGCACTTCAATGAGCTTATGGTCTGAGTATGAAGTATCTGAGATTGTGATATCCCTGATTAGTTCATCATTGTTTGTGAATAACAAGTCTAGTGTGTTTTCGTTCCTAGTTGGTTCTGTAATCTGTTGATTGAGCGAGAATTTGTCACAGAATCTCAAAAGTTCTCTAACCTGTGGTTGGTTATTTCCCGGGTCATTCCCTGCTATCATATTTGTGTTTGCCGTTCTCCATCTTAGACTCGGTAAATTGAAATCTCCAAGAAAGATAATATCTGGAGCTGGGTTTGCTAGGTTGTCAAGCATGTTCTCTATTTTGTGCATCTGCTCTGTGAATTCCTCAATCGTTGTATCTGGCGGTTTATATATTAGAATAATAATTAGGTTAAGTTTCTCTACCTTCATTCCAAGTACCTCTACCACCTCATTAGTTGAATTTAGTAGTTCTGTGCATACCAGGTCTTCTTTTATATACAGACCTACTCCTCCATTTGACCTAGTTTTTCTATCACATCTATATAGATTATAATTTGGAATCCAGATTTCACCATCCATGTAATCTTTTGTATGAGTTTCCGTGAATGCCCCAAATATTGAGTTTGACTCTAATAGAAGGCCATTTATGAACTTTATTTCTTGACTTTGGCTTTAAACCTGGAATGTTTGCAAATATGAATGATTGTCCATATTGTGTGTAACTTCTGGAAGGTTTTGGTAGTTCTCCCTCCTCTCTACCCTGACCCAGGGTGTGTTGTTGTGGCAATGGTTTGTCCAGTTTTGGAAGTGATACTGGGGAGTGTGGTAGTCTCTGTGTAGTTGGGGGGTGTAGTATGTGTGGGCTTGATGACGAACTGTAGTCCAGTCTTGGGCATTTCCCCCTCTCCATCCGTACTCTTGCCACGTTTCTGCCTGTCTGTTTCTCCCTCTGTTTGTACCTGCCTCTAAAAAATTTTCAGGGCTATTATGTTGGACTTCTTCTCTTATATGGCGCTGTGTACCTATGACATGGAAATCGGGGCAGTGAAGATCGTAGCATTTCCTCTCATTGACTGAGAGTGTGCATAGCTTAGGGTGAAAATATCTACACTCTGTATCCACTCTGTATGTAATAGCCACAGGGACCGGATTAAAGCAGGTTTTCTGCAGAAATTACACTATCCGGTCAGTCCCCCAGATAATCGTGCCTTTGTCCGTATATGAAAACATGAGGCAGGCCATACGGTATTAATCCCGTCTGCCCGAGACTCGAGGCGCATGGTGTAGGTGGGGGTGGGGTGGGTGGGTGGTGTTGGGAGGGTGGGAGGGGTGCGTCAGGAGGGACTACCTGGGTACAGGGATTACCATTAATTTTAGAACAATTAATCATAGCCAAAAACAAATAAAATAACTACTAGTAATTATGTAATAACAAATAAATAAGTTTCCTAAAAGCATTGTGCACAGGCTGAAGTTTCCTTAAAAAATATTGTGAATTTTTTTCCTCCTGGCGGCCTACGTAACGCTATGGCTGCCCCAAGTGGACCTGTCCAACACTGGTCAACCCATGTGCGTCCGTCCCTCGTGTTATACACAGTGCTGCGCCATTAGTGAAATATTTTTTTAAATTACTTTTTTATTTTCATAGTAACTTTGAACATTTTTGGCCAAGACTATGTCTGGTAGCAGCATCAATCGTTCTGGAGGTGTTAAGAGGAAGAAAGTTGTCCTAACAATTAAAGACAAGTCACAGTTATACGCCTCAACCAGTGCGGCCTCACAGTGTTGCGCCATTAGTGAAATATTTTTTAAATAACTTTCTTAATTTTCATAGTAATTTTGAACATTTTTGGCCAAGAATATGTCTGGTAGCAGCATCAATCGTTCTGGAAGTGTTAAGAGGAAGAAGATTGTCCTAGCAATTAAAGACAAGTTACGTGTTGTTCAAACAGTGAGGCGTCACAGGCAGCCAAGCGCCTTCAACAAGTGAGGCGCCACAGGCAAGCCAAGCTCCTTCAACAAGTGAGGCATTATAGGCAAGCCAAGCGCTTTCAACAAGTGAGGCGCCACAGGCAAGCTAAGCGCTTTCAACAAGTGAGGTGCAAGCAAGCGCCTTTAACAAGTGAAGCGTCACAGGCAAGCCAAGCGCCTTCAACAAGTGAGGGCATGCAAGTGCTTCAACAAGTGAGGTGCAAGCAAGCACCTTCAACAAGTGAGGCCTCACAGGCAACCCAAATGCCCTCAACCAGTGAGGCTTCAGCAGCTGGCAGTCAAAACTAACTTAGCTTAATGAACTGTACAGTAATTTTAAGTGTTAATTTTAGTGTTGTGTTAGTATAGGTTACGTAAATTGTTAAGAATTTTTAACTTCAAGATGTGTGGCATCAATCAAGAAGACGAACACCAACAAGGTAAGTTGAGGTTTCTAGTTGAATATTTAATAATTGTATGTGGCAAGGCAATTCAAATTATGTTGTTTGTAGTATAAAAATAGTTGGAAATGGTCACTTTTGGACTCGTAGGTGAAAAAGTACCATTATCCGAAAAATGTGATAATCCGGCTGGGGGTCCTTCCCATATAGTCCGGATGATCGAGTGGAGACAGTATATCAGACATTTCATTTCTATTTTCCTACAAAAACGTCAATGCTTTGCAACATCTCAGCAGTCACCCCTTTATATCCCAGCATCATTAGCATCTTTAAACAAGAACAACATAATTTATGTGCATCGTCGGAGGCGTCTAAGAATGTGCAAGAAGCAGCGCGACCCCACCATGTGGTGTTGACGTTACTCAAACCAGCGTTCGTCATACGGGACGATTTGACGCCGATCGGGCCGTTCGTTACCCAAAATATTCGTCTTTTGGGGCAATCGTTATGCGAGGTACCACTGTATATATAATTTTAACATTTTCTACATTACAAAAAATAAAATCTAGTCTTAAGGGATGAATAGGGTATTTAAAATTCCGAAGTAAAAATGCAAACTAATTATGGTTTATATTTTGTGCTTCAATATTAGCTTATAAATTGTTCAAATTTCCTCACATCAAAGCTATTTATGCTTATAAACTCGTGCCACTACTGCAGACAGTTGCTACTACAATATATCATTAAATAAATGGAATTACTGAATGGAAATCTCAAAATATTAATGCAAGCCTCAAAGCTAATGCAGCATCAGAGATTTAGATTATTAAACTTGGTTGATAAAGAGTAGACTACATCATTATTATCTTTTATAAACATATATACACAAATACAATATTTAAACCCTTAAGGGCACTGACTTACATTTACTTTAAAACAATGTTTTCACATCTATATTTCTTTGGTATTTAACCTTTAGATCATAAGCATAACTACTATCAAAAGACTTAAAGAAAAAGTTACAAGAAATTTGTTTGCTTTGTTTTTGGTACATAATTGAATCCATTATAACTGTAGCAAAAGTCGAGATGCAGGTGGTTCAAAATTAAATTGATGTAAAGAGTAAACACTAATGAACTCTCAATATAATTTAATAAATATAAAATGCATGAAATATAAATCTATCCTTTAGAAAATAAAATCTAATACTGAATACTGTCTGCTGCCAAATATGTTGAGAAAAAAAGAATGATAAGAAGGAAAGAATGTAATGTACTAACCTTGAGGACTGGGCATGATAGGCGTGCCAGGACCAGGCGGACCTGCAGAACCTGGCGGACCCTGTCAATATAACATCAGATCATTTAATGTGGTTCATTATTGAAATTTGCCAATTCCTTATTTCATCCTTTATCTCTGATGCTTGATTTAATTTGAAATTTACAAGAATAAATCCTTGTTGATGAAGATACAGAACTAACAAAAAATCCATGAGTCACTGAAAGGACAATTGCTATCTACAAACTGTGTAATATTCAGCTTGTGTATAAATTTAATTATTTAATTCCTTTCCCTAGGTAAATTTTAGTACTTTAATACCCACTAATGACTAAATATGGAGTCAAAAATTAAAAACATTTGGTTTTGTGAAAACTGCAGTTTTTGACATTATATGCATATACACCTGTAGGGATTGTCATTGCAAACACATTCATACCAAAATGAAAGACCTAGGACGAGAATTGAGGTAATAAAGTTGAAAAGAGTAATCACATTTTATTGCTCTTTATTAACACTCACTGGGGATAACGCTTCATCACTTTCTTTTTGCTGTGGGTGGTACGCCGGGCTTTTGGACTTTATATTTGCATATACTCCTGTAGGGAATTCTATTGCGAACACAATGATAAAAAAAATGAAAGACCTAAGACGAGAATTGAGGTGACCAAAGTGAAGAGAGTGTACACATTTAAAGTATAAAGTGCTAGAGTACTAAAGTGCTCTTTAGCACTCCCAGGTAACTTCTATCACCTTGTCAATTTTGTGCAGGTAGTATGCCGGGCTTTCGGATTTCATATGCATTTAATCATGTGGAGAATTCTATTGAGAACACATTGATAACAAATTAGAAAACCTAGGATGAGAATTGAGATGACAAAGTTGAAAAGAGTATACACTTTTCATTATTACCGAGGTCTCTAATGGACGGCCCGGCACTTCTCCCAGCTCTCCATCACCTGCTTTCATCACGTCAACAGGTGGAGCGCGCCACGGTTTTTGACATTATATGCATATACTCCTGCTGGGAATTTTATTGCGAACACATTGATGCCAAAATGAAAGACGTGGGACAAAAATTGAGGTGACCAAAGTGAAAAGAGTGTACACATTTTATCGCTCATGCATGCTACCGTGTAACTGTATCTCACTTTCTCCATTTGCTGCAGGTGGTAAGCCGAGCTTAGTCCTGTAGACCATTCTATTGAGAACACATTGATACAAAATTGAAAAACCTAGGATGAGAATTAAGGTGACAAAGTTGAAAAGAGTATACACATTTCATTATTATCGCGCGCTCCCACGGAACGTCCAAAACCACTAGGGTAGGAGAAATGCTTGCTCACCCAAAGCGCGAAAGTGTATATGGGCCCATAGAAAAACAGGCAAGCCAACACACTTGGTTATTCCACTAGTAAGGGCAGCCCAGGCCACCATCTGGCAGGGAGCGAAGACCATACAGCATTAATCCAGTCCTAAAAGTGGACGATGGGTTGGAGAACAGAAGGTGTTGGGGGATAAGAGAAGGAGATGGGAGGGACAGAAGACTGAGGGGGGACCAGTAATGGGCAACCTGTCAGCCAAGTCAGTCAGTATGTAGAAGCCCTCGTTCTGATATCTTTTATTTTAGGTCAGTGCACTAAACTTTGTCAATAGCTTTTCCTTCGTCTCTGAGCACTATACAGTATTACACTTCCAGAAACTCTATGCTGCCCACCCGCTTTATGCTGTAAATTCACTTTTGGCCACCCACCTGCCAGCAGTTGTCAGAAAAAACAACACTATTTACTAATTCAATAGAATAGGCAGATAATAGCTGTGTTTAATAATATACAAATTAACACAGAAAATGAAGCAGAGTGGAAATTCCCTCAATAGAAAATGGATATCATTGCCACATGTCGCTATTCGATTCACTAGCTATATTAATGGGAAACATTCTTAATACTGTACAGCAGTCTTTGGACTGTAAATATCATGAAAACATTTCCCTTGAATCAACTTAATTATCAGTACCAAAATCGAGTAAATGTGGGGCCTCTAAGCATTTTTGACATCTAGATAAGAGCGCCAGGATGCGTGAGGGAAGGAGGGCCAGAGGGAGTCACCATTAATTTTAACATCAGTCTCTGGGGCAAATTTAGCTCCAATAATTTCCCTTGGACAACAGTGTTTTGGGAAGTAAAGTGCTCCCATAAACAGCAACCCTTAAACAGCGCATATCATATATAAATGATATCAGTGACAAAACCGAACCGCGTACATCATTTATATATGATTTCGTGTCTAGCGCTATAATTTAAAAGCCCCGCCTGGGATAGGGGCAGCTATAGTGCAGCCACGACCGATAGTTACCAGATGCCACCTAGAAAAAAAATCCAGGCCAACATTCTTGAGTGTGAGAGCTTCAGTATTGAGAAAGCCACCAAGGCTGATGCACACAACACGAGCTCACAGCACCGCTGTTCAGCTTGTGACCACAGCATCGCCTACAAATGCCATAATATATATGTTCATGCTATTATTTAGCGATGATAGTATTACAGAAGATCCCTGACTGTGATAAAACTGATCAGGATTCTGATAATAGCAGGATTGTGGTGATATTTAACACTGTGCTCCATGGAGGGTGGAGTAATGCTGTGGGAGGAAGGGTGGTGGCAATGTCTTCTGACTGTGTGTGACAACCTTTTATTGACTGCACTTACCATACCAGCTTAGTGGTTCACTATGGTGACCACAAATGTAGATACTTATATATAACGTGTGTATAGAGTGTAATAACAGCAATAGGAGTAGGTTGGGAGCCGCCATTTCGGTGAGGGAGGTGCGTCATCTGCATGACTTATCATGTTGTTTACTGGTGGCCACTATGGTCTTTGGGCACCATATCAGCTTATTTGTACAGGTATGGTGAATAAAACAGGTAGATACTTATATATAATGTGTGTATATAGCGTAATAACACCAGAAACAATATTGTTGGAGGAGAAATATTAGTGCGTCTGGCCTTGAGGGCGGCCGCCACCAGCTGACTGTGTGAGTATGTCTGACTGTGTCTGACTGACTGTCTTTGTGCCTTTACTCACCATACACGCTTAGATATACAGTTATGGTGAACAAAACATGTAAATACTTTTATATAACACCTGTGTATAATGAATAAATGCAAAAACAGTATTGTGGGAGGAGAATGAGGGCGAGTGAGGTGGTGTTGAGGGAGGGAGTGGCAGCAAGTGGCTGGCTGGTGTGTGACGGTCACTCCTCGTTGGATTTTGACTCACAATACCAACTCAGTGGTTCGTTATGGTGAACAAAACATGCAAATACTTATATATAACCTGTGTATATAGTGTAACAACAGCAAAACTATTTGTTTATTGTTTTATGAACATAATACAGTAATTGAATCACTAATATGCACACCATAATTTTGAGTACAGCAATGGTTCACACGTTTTATTATATAAATATATCTATTCACTGTATTGAATAATATTACTGCAAAAAAAGTAAGAAAAAATCAGAGACATTGAAATAAATAGGTAATAATATATTTGTGGCAACTGCCGCCTGACAGCTCGAGCGGAGTAGACCTCGTCTGGCGAAGGCTCTGTCAACACCCCTTTTTTGCGAGACTTCCCTACCCTATTGCAGCTAAAATATGCCACCTACAATTTTTTTGTTATTTTTTCCGTGATCAGGGAACAAAAATGAACTTTTATAAGACGAAAGAATTTTTTGGATTTTTTTTTTTTGTTGCACCTGTAGGTGCATGGCATTTATTAACATTAAATTCCATTTGCCAAGTGGTGCTCCATATACTGATTTTGTCCAGGTCATCTTGAAGGGCATGACAATCATCTAAGTTTCTTATCCTTCCTATTATCTTAGCATCATCAGCAAACATGTTCATATAATTCTGTATACCAACTGGTAGATCATTTATGTAGACAATAAACATCACTGGTGCAAGAACTGAAGTCTGTGGTACTCCACTTGTGACATTTCTCCAGTCCGATACATTGCCTCTGATTATTGCCCTCATTTTTCTATAACGATACATTGCTTCTGATTACTGCCCTCATTTTTCTATCAGTCAGAAAATTTTTCATCCATGTTAGAAGCTTACCTATCACCCCACCAATATTTTCCAGTTTCCAGAAGAACCTCTTATGTGGAACTCTGTCGAAAGCCTTTTTTAGTTCCAGATAGATGCAGTCAACCCAACCATCTCTTTCCTGTAAAATCTCTGTGGCTCGATCATAGAAACTGAGTAAATTCGATACACAGGATCTTCCAGATCGAAAAGCATAATGTCTATCTGATATTATATCATTTCTCTCCAGGTGTTCTACCCATTTAGTTTTGATTAGTTTTTCCAATACTTTCACTATTACACTTGTCAATGATACAGGTCTATAATTGAGGGGTCTTAGCTGCTGCCAATTTTGTAGACTGGAACTATGTTAGCCTGTTTCCACACGTCTGCTACAACTCCTGTATACAGGGATGCCTGAAAGATCAGGTGAAGTGGAATGCTGAGCTCAGATGCACATTCTCTCAGAACCCATGGTGAAACTCCATCTGGGCTAACTGCTTTGTTCCTCCCGAGCTCCTTTAGCATATTTTCCACTTCATCTCTAGACACCTCTATACGCTCTATGTTGTTCTCTGGAATTTTTATTGTGTCTGGTTCTCTGAAGATTTCATTTTGTACAAAAACACTTTGGAACTTTTCATTTAATGTTTCACACATTTCATTTTCATTTTCTGTGAATCTGTTTCCCATTTTCAACCTCTGGTTACTATCCTTAACCTGCAATTTGTAGTTTATGAATTTGTAGAATAGGCCCGGTTCTGTTTTACATTTATCTGCTATCCTTTTTTTTCAAAATTTCTTTCTGCCTCTCTCCTTACTGCCATATAGTTGTTTCTCGCATCTTTGTATCGCTGGTATGTTTGGGGGTTTGGCCTCTTCCTATACTGATTCCATTTTTGCGTCTTTTGGTTTCTGGCCCTCTCGCAATTTCTGTTGAACCAATCCTGTTTTCTGGCCCGGC